CCCCGGGGCCTCACTCGCGATGCGCCGTCCCGGGGGGGTAGCTCGCTGCCCGACCCAGCCAGGGGCACCACCGGGCGGGCCACGCGCACGCGGCCCCGTACGCCTACCGCGCGCCCCCGGCCCGCGCCACGCCGCGGCACCACCCGCACACCGCCGAGGCGAGGGAGAGCGGCCTGTGCGGCACCACCGCTCACACAGAACAATACTACAAATCAACTAAACGGGTGAGACCCCACTCTACTCTGCACAGACAGTCCGCACTGCTCCAAACGCACAAAGTCTCTAACTACTAACATCTACCGAGGCGGACGCAAAAAAGCGCGCCTCGGCGAGACGGATCGCATCACTTTGCCTGGGCCTGGAATCGCCGCACGCCAGCCTGGACAGAGGCTCGCGAGAGGCCCTCCTTGTCGCCGTCCTCATAGGTGACCTGCTGGTAACATCCCGTCTCCGGGTCGTAAGAGACGATATCTCCGACGAAGGTGCCATGGCCGCCAAAGGTCTTCATCATCCGCTTGCCCACCAGGTCGGTCCGCTGCACCTTGCGTGGTGGGGAGCTGAGAGCTGAGGGCGGGTCGGGTGCCCGGGGGGCGGGGTGGGGGGGGTGGGGGGGCACCCGGGGGCGCCTCACTCTGAGGAGCTCCGCCCCGCCCCTGACCCCTCACTGCCCCGGGGGTGGGGCCTCAGCCGCAGCCGGCTTGTCCCGGGGTGGGGTCTCGGGGTGAGGCCCGGGTGAGTGCCGCCCCCGCGCCCCCCCGTCCCGGGGCTACTGTGATAAACACACCACGCACGGAGGGATGGAGTCACCTGCGGTCCCCCGTTATGCGCCCCCGCCGGGCTTTGTGCGTAAGACCAAAGCGGAGAAACGCGAGCTCAAGGCGGCAAAGATGCGAGAGCTGCGCGGCGAGTGGCGGAGGAGGGAGCGGGAGGGTCGGCGGAAGCAGGTGGCGCAGCGGGCCGCCGAACGCGGCGCCATGCTCGAGCGCATGTCCGAGGAGGAGCGCGCCGACTTTTGGCGCGCCGAGAGGGCGGAGAAGGAGCGGCTTGAGCAGGAGAAGAGGGAGCAGAACGAGCGGCTCGATGCGGCGCTGAGCGACGGCGTTCGGGTGGTGGTCGACCTCTCGTATGGCGCGACGATGAACCTCAAGGAGCAGCGCTCGCTCGCCCGGCAGCTCGGCCGCTGCTGGGGCGCCAACCGGCGTGCGCCAGCGCCGGTCGCTCTGCACCTCGCGTCGATGCAGCGCTGCCCGGCGCCCTGCCTGCCGCAAGACGGCGACCACAAGCGGTGGAAGGTGCGGCTGCTCGACGAGGACCTCGAGCACCACTTCTCTCCCTCCGACCTCGTCTTCCTCTCCCCGGATGCGGACGAGGCCCTCACGTGCGTCGACAAATCAAAGGTGCTTGCACCGCCGCCACAGCCGCCACCGACAGCCGCCACCACCGCCGCCGCACGCAACAAGAGGCGCACCGTCACCGCCTCGCTGCCGCCTCCACCTCCCTCCCTACCCACCTCACCCGCGCCGCACCTCCGCCGCACCTCACCCTCGCTGCAGGTCTACGTCATCGGCGGCCTCGTCGACGTCTCTGTGCAAAAGCGCTCCTCGCTGACGAGGGCGAGAGAGCTCGGCGCGACGGCGGTGCGGCTGCCGCTGCGGGAGCACGTCGCAGACGTCGCCAACCGGCGGCAGCCCCTCACGCTTCCTGCGGTGCGCTCTCGCTGCACCCCCCTTGCGCTCTCTCCTCCCCGATTCGGCCGCCATTCTCTCCTCCCTCGCTTGGCCCTCGCCCCTCCGCCCTCTGCACCCAGAGACCCTTGCTCGCACAGACTTGCTCGCACAGAGAGCCCCTTTCAGAGACCCGCTCGCGCACACACCTCCGCCGGCCCGACCCCCCCCCCTTCCCCACCCTCCCCCTTCCCCACCCCGCCAGGTGCTCGAGATGCTTCTCCACGTCAACGCGACCGGCGACTGGCTCGCCGCCATCGAGGCGGCGCTGCCGGCCCGCAACCACACGCGCCCCCCAGAGCTCTCCCGCTCCGGGCGGCGCAAGGGCAAGCGGGCGCGCCTCGAGGCGCAGGCGAGCGGAGCCGAGGCCAGCGGCCCCTCCTCCTCCGGCCCCTCCTCCTCCGGCCCCTCCTCCTCCGGCCCCTCCTCCTCCGGCGCCGCCGAGGGAGCTGCCGCCGAAGGAGCTGCCGCCGAGGGCCTCTCTGGGGCCGCTCGAGAGGGCGGCAGCAGGGAGGGCGACAGCGGGGAGGGCGACAGCGGGGAGGGCGGCGACAGCTCCAGCGACGATAGCTCTGGCGAGGACGGCGGCGCCGAGGGTGCAAGTGAGGGCGCTGGCGAAGGCAGAGCTTGCCAAGCATAGGTAGGAGTCTTTCGCAGTGCGCGACGGTCTGAGACACTCGGTGAAGACGCTCTGCGCTGCCCTCTCACCTTAGAACAACTGGTTGCTGGCTCTCTCCTGAGCCCGGCTCATCTAGTTCGTAGTTGCAGGCCTCTGATTCAAGTACAATTGAATCCGAGGCTAGTCATTGCAACTCGTATATACGAACACGACATTTTTTGGCTCACAAAACGAGAGGACCTCAAAGCTCATCGTGTTCGTGATCCTCCTGCTCCTCCCCGCCGCCGAGGTGTGCGAAGCGCGCGAGCCCGTCGGGGAAGCGCTTGACCCGCCCCCTCGCGCTCGCCATCGACAGGATCATCTGCACGACGCCGAGGCGCCGGAACGAGTTGAGCTGCGCGTTGACGAAGAGCGCCGTCCTCACGAGGACTGGCTGGTCGGGATGCACCTACGGCCGTCGTGCGGCGCGCTCGCAGCTTGCAGCCGGGCCATCCTGCCACACCTCGGGCGCTGGTCGCGGCGGCACCTCCGAACCGTCCTCGGACACCGGCGGCACAGCGCTCCCGTCCGCGCGGACGAGCGGGACGAGCGCGGCGTCGAACTCGCTCCAGTTGAGTGCGGAGAGGAGCCCCTGCAGCTGGCGGTGGTCGTAGTGCACGCCGGGCGGCGAGGAGAGCACCCATGGGGAGTGCGACTCCTCGGGACCCGTGTGCGACCCGCTCACCTAGGGCCAGGCAGAGCCCCTGTCCGAGCCGGCTCCCGGCTAGCGGCGGACGTCTGACACGTGGGGCGGGTGGGGCGGGGTGGGAGAGGGGGGCGGTCGCCAGGTGGTACAGCGAGCGGTGGATGCGCGGCGATGACGGCGGCGGCGACTCGACGAGAGAGACCAGCCTGATGGAGCGGACGGGTGCCTCAGTGGGCCCACTCCCCCGGGCGGCGACTCGAAGAGGCAGAGGCGCCAGTCGTGGAAGGCATCGCCTACTCGCAGCGTGACAGGGCCGGTGTGCGCGGGGCCCGGCCGAGAGGCGCTCTCGTGGAGTGGCGTCGCCGACGACGCGCGCAGAGAAGGTGCGGGTGATGTAGGCGGCGACCTCCGCCGGGTCGCCTGCGGGAGCGGGAGGGGGCTGGTCGTGGACGTGTCCCTCGGCGGGAGCCCCTCTCTCTCTCTCTCTCTCTCTCTCTCTCTCTGTGTGTGTGTGTGTGTGTGTGTGTGTGTGTGTGTGTGCGTGCGTGTGTGTGTGTGTGCGTGCGTGTGTGTGTGTGTGTGTGTGTGTGTGTGTGCGTGTGTTTGTGCAGCCCCTCGGAGAATCTCGACGCAATCTCGACCGCAATCTCGGCGTGTGCTCGCCGAAGGGGGCAGCCCCCCGGGTGGCATTGTACACCGCGTGCAGCGCCGCGACGACGCCGGGCACGTGCGGCTGGGCTACCATGCCCCGCAGGAGGAAGGTGCGCTGCTGGTGCGGCACCGCGATGCCGAGCCGCGTGAAGTCGCCCATCGAGCCGAAGGCGGTGCTGACCACCGGGGTGCCGACCAGCTGGCACTCGAGCAGGTTCATACCTGCGGCGGGAGGGCAGGGGGGGGGGGGCGACGCTGCGGGAGAGCGACGCACAAGCATGGGGTAGACGTGGGGGCCCGGGGTAGGCGTGTTTCGTCCGCGAGGGCGACCTCGGAGAGAAGGGTGCGAGAGACGGGCCCGCCGCATCATCTAGGCGGCGCTGCCGAAGCCCTCCGTCTTGCTCGGGTGGAGGCAGACGTCGGCGGCTCGCTTGAGGGCGGCGGTGCGGTTCGCGGGGAGGACTCGCTCCTCGAGTGTGTACGCCTTGAGTGGAGTGAGTGGATGAGCTGTGAAGGGAGTGGCGCGCGCTCCGGAGTGTTGCACGCCTGCGCGGGAGGGGTCCGTGGACGCGGTATAGACGTATGTGGTGTCTCGCGCGGCAGTCCTCCCTCCGGAAATGGCTCTGAGTGGCTCTGAGTTGTGCCCCTGAAGTGCCTCCGCCCTCTGAAGAAGTGTCCCTCCGGAGCGCTCGCCTCGCGCGGTAAGCCCGACGCCTGCAGCAGCAGCCGCAGGGGCACGCCCTCCTCCTCCACCGCGTGGGGCGGCTCCTGCAGCAGCAGCAGCAGCAGGGAGTGAGGGAGCGAGGCGCAGCGCCGGCGTGGCCGGGCCGCGTGCGGTCGCGGCTCCCTGCCGTGCCCGTCGCGGAGGATCGCCCTCGAGCTGACCGCGTGCAGAAGGAGGTGCGCGTCGGGCCTCGCCTTTGGGGGGGGGGGGGCTGATTAAAACCCGGGGGGGGGGGGGGCTGATTAAGACCCGACCCATTCGGTTAGTGAGGCTCGCCTGGCGCGGCGTGGGGAAGGGGCGCGATGGGCGCGACAGGGCTAGGCACGCCGAGGTGGCGGAGCTGCTGGCGCCTGGTAGAACTCCCGGAAGGCCTCGATGGCAACGCTCCACCCCTGGCGACAGAGTGGGAGACGCGTGAGCTGCGCTGCGCCGGCACAGCCACACAAGCACCGCGCTGCACTGCTCTGGGAGGTGTCTGGGCGGTCTTATGGAGCTGTCCAGTAAGGGGCTGGGAGGTGGTGCAGGTGTCTGTGCAGCGCCGTGCGGTCAGTCCGCTCGTAGCGCCTAGGAAGTGTCTGGGAAGTGTCTGGGAAGTGCCTAGCAGGTGTCTATAGCCTTTCGGTCGCTCCGCTCGTAGTTGCCGCCCTGCATCAGGATCAGGAACGTGCCGGCCGGGAGGGTCAGCGGGTGCGGCGGCCCGCCGACGCCGAGCAGCTCCGGCTCGACGATGTGCGGGATCCAACGGACGGGCAGCTTGCCTAGCCGAGGCACAGCAGCTTGCCGTCGCCGGCTATGTGGCGGGTGCTGGGTCCGAAGAGAGGGAGCGTGCCGCCCAGCCCGCGCTCGAGGATGGCCGCAGAGGAAGGGGCGAGGGACGCGACGCCTACAGCAAGGACGTCCCGCGCGTCGCCAGCCTCTCTCGCTCGCCGCCGTGACGGGCGAGGCGTCTGCAGCGCCGCTGAAGGCGGCCAGCGTGTATCCGTCCACGTGGTTGAGCGAGTCAAAGTGGTAGGGGAACCAGGAGAGGGCGGGGATGGCAAAATCCTCGTCGCGCAGCAGCATGTTGACGTCCATCAGCATCACGTACGCGTGTAGCCCGTGCTCCCGCGCAGCCTTGTTGAGCTCCCCAACCTGCTTGACTCGCGGGTAGATGCCCCAGCTCCGGCCGATGTAGCCGGCAATGTGCGCGCCATGCTCGTCGTCCCAGCCCGGAGGCGGTCGGCGCATGCGCGCCGTCGCGGCCGCCTCGTCGCTCGTCCGATACAGGCCCTCGGGGAGCGACTCCACAACCGGTAGCCAATACACCTTCCAGCCGTGCCGCGAGCTGAGCTCGACGGCCAGCTGCAGCCCTTGCGCCTGGTACGGCCCGAACGTCCACGGAAAGGATGGCACTACGAGGCCAAGCGTGAGCTCTCCGCTTAGGCTGAGGCAGGAGACCAGTAGTGTCAGCATGGATCCAGCAGATGACGTGTCGGAAGAAAGCGGCTTGACAAGTAGCGCATCACACCTCTCCTTAAAATCCCTGTGTCGTGGCGGCGTGCCGTCCTCCCATCCCTCCCTTGGGTTGTCTGTGTTCTTTCTTTCTTTTCCTCCCTGGGCTGTCTGTTTTGGCGGCTCACTAGCAACCCCGTCGTCGGCTGTCACGATCGATGCATGCACCCGAACGGTTACTGGACCGTCACGTGTTCAACGACGTTGAACAGTGTTCAACCACGGCGCTGTTCACAGCGCGCGCGGACGGCCGTTCTGCGAGTCCAGCTCCGCTGGACTTTTGTAAAGCATGCTTGTGGCAAGTTATAGACGCTAGTATCGACCTCAGAGACCCAAACCCGAATTAATAATTAAGGCTCAAAGTATGGTTGAACAACCGTTGAACAAACAGGTTGAACAACGATATCCGACTAGTGCGACCGCTAGACGGCGGTCTCCGCCGGCCCCAAGGCTGCCCAGCCCCAGTACCACACCGGCCACGTAGACCGTAGCGCTGGAGTTGGTCAGTGAGGCACTAGACGGGCTACGGAACCATGCGCGCGCCGGCCGGATAGGCTGCGCGCAGGGGCCGCGCCGCCTCGATTTCGCGTCGTGCCCCTGCGCGCGCAGCATCTCGATCGCGCGCTCCAGCATGTAGCGCCGCCCCTCGTTGCCGCCCTTGCCGAGACAGTGCACCTTGTCGCGCCCGAGGGGGTACATGATCTTCTTCAGCATCTCGGCAAACATGCCTGGCCCCGGCGAGGGCCACACGTAGCCCGAGTACTCGTCATCGAGCAGCGGGTTGAACGCATCGTCCGCTGTGTACACGAGCTCGGCGCGGTGGGCGACCAGTAGCGACAGGATCCGGATGAGCTCAAACGACCAGTCGGAACATCCCGGCGTGCCCGTCTTTGGGTCGCGCATCGCAGAGATGGTGCCGTCGTGGAAGAAGCAGACCCAGACTTTGGACTCGCGCTGGTGCGCCGCGGCGATAGTCGCCCACTGCTTCGCCTCCGCGTCGGAGAGGGACGTGCGAATCTCCCACGAGGCGACAAGCTCCTCGTGCCCCTTGCGCAACTCCCCAAGCCAGAAGTCGCCGCCGCCTGAGTGGGACAGTCGGGCCAAGCGTGAAGCCTCACCGTCCTAGCTGGTGGTGGCTGTGGCTGTGGTCGCGGTGGCGGTGGCAGTGGCGGTGCTTGGAAGCGGTCGCTCAGGGCGTCTCACCAGAGACCACGAAGAGCTTAGAGCCGCGAGGCACGTTCTCCTGCAGATAGGCGATCTGGGCCTCGGCTGCGGTGTAGATGGTGTCGTGTGGCAGCGGCTGCGGGTCGAGCTGGTAGGGCGGCGACTGTAGCTTCTTGCGGCACTCCTCGGAGCACTTGGAGCCCGTGTTTGAGAGGAAGACGTACCTGTGGCCCGCGGCGGATGGCGAGCTCAGCGAGAGCAGCTCACCTAGTGGGCGCGGTGAAGGGGCGCGTACTGCTTTCCAGTCCGGCGCAACCACGCAAGAAAGGCGCGCGAGCCAGGCAGGAGGCTGCCCGGGCGATACACGGTGCCATCAAGGTCGACCAGAAAGCCCGTAACGTCGGACGTGGCGGCGTCGAACGTTGTCAGCTCCGCCTCGTCGATCGAGGACGAGTAGCTATCGGTCGTGGCAATCGTGGAGAAGGGCGATTGGGCGCGCCTGACGGGTCGAGTCGGCGGCGGCACGGTCGTGACCCCCGCCCCCCCCGCGCGCCCCCCCGCCCCCCCCATCCCTTAGGGATATGCCCGCGCTCGGCAGACGGCCAGGACGAAGCATGGAGAGTCCCATCCCTTAGGGATGTGCCCGGACTCGGCAGGACGGCGCGGTATGTTGATATGCAGCGGACGAGATGGCGCAGGGGGAGCGTTGCAAGTGCGCACCTCTCTCCGTGGCCAAGCGCCGACAGGTTGGGCGAGGAGAAGACGTTGTGCATGGAGCCGAGGTGGATGGTATCGGACGCGCCCGTGCAGCTGCTTGAGTTGGCCGGCGGTGTCTCGGAGCGGCGGCTGCGGGCTAGGCTCATTGCCGGCACCCGCCTCCGCAGCGTCCCGCCGCTGTGAGGCCTCCCCGTGGCGGCTTCCTCCGACGTGGTGGAGGGTGCCCGCGACGAGGCGGCAAAGGCGGAGCGGGCAGTAATGAGAGACTTGGAGCTGGTCGCATCCAGTCTCCTCGGCACTGAGGCGACAGTGTAGGGCAGCGGCTGCGGTGCAGCGGCGCCCGCGCGCCTCTTGAGCGGGGAAGACGACGAGCTCGGAGGCATCGACCTCGGACTCGAGATCGGGGCTCCGGACTGCGGAGCGGAGCCGCACTCGTCGCCACCGTGTTGCTGCGCTCGTGGCTGGCTCGAGAAGTGCGCCGACCCCATCTCGCTCGACCACATAGGCAGCAGAGCGCCAAATGCGTCACGCAGGGCCTCGCTCGGCTGCGCGCTGTCCGGGAGGCCAAGGGGCAGCGGGGAGTGGACAAAGTCGTTCGCCTCGAACTCGTGCGCCTCGGGCACGCAAGGCACCTTGAGCTGCGGCGGCCGATCTAGCCTCTCAATTGCTGCGCTCTCTAGCCGCACAGCTCGCCTCGCAGGCTCTGCCGCTCTATCTTCGGCCGTTGGTGCCCTCGCCCTCTGCAGCGCAGGAGGCGGCTCTGCGGCGGCGCTGCACGGGCACGGCTCGACTGTGGGTGTGGATGCTGCTGGCCGCGCGTACTGGGAGGCTACGTCAGTACCATTAACCTTTTGCGAGCCTGGCGCAGGCCGCCTGCCCGCCGTGCGCATTGGCATTGACAGTCGTGCCAGGTATGACATCAGGAGCGAGACGAGCATGCCCATCAGCAGACCGTACCCGAACCCGGGCGTCGCCGCCTCGGCGAGCCCGGCGAGCATCTCGCACCGAAGCGTCCACAAGGGGCGCTCCTACACCTCTAACTCCGAGCCGCAGAAAGGGGGGCGTACAATTGTAACGAGTGTTGGCGAATCTTCGACCGGAATTCGTTTCCACGTCCCCCCATGCCTTATGCCCCTTGGCGGGCGATGCAGGGTGGGATTAAAATCATTGCGCGTAAAAGAATCGAGCGTTGTGTGTTTTCTTTCTTTCTTTCTTGACGCTTGATGAGTAAAAAGAGCCTGGCCGCCCGCCCAACAAAGCCAGCGCCCAGGCGTTGACCGCAGCACAGCTCGCTCTGGGTTTAATAATTGGGTGGTGGGTGGTGGCGGCGTACGCCCCCCCCCCCCCCAAAGGCGCGAGACACACGCTTACGAGATGCTTCTTTTCGAAGAGTCGCTTACTACTTCTAATAAGAGACAACGGCCCACACACACGATATGTATGTATGTAGGGAGGTGAAGAACAGCCAGGCTCGGACTGGACACGATTATTTCGAATTCTTCCGCGTTCCAAGACCCTAACTCGCAGATTGTAACGCCTCAACGTCAGTCCCGCCACTCGCCAGCACGGCACCTCACGACCTCATAGGACCTTGAGCGCGCGTTCTTACTTGTGCTCATTGCGCCCTATGTCGCTGTTCCGCGCAAAGGAGTGGTGGTCCGCCTCAGTGGGCGAGGCCGACGAGGTCATCACTGCAGCAGTTGGCAACTTCGACAACGAGCCGGAGCCGGCGTTGCTCAAGTTGGCCACTGGCTCGCTGAGCGGCAAACTTCGCGTGTACAGGCCGCGGCAGCGTGGGTACTCGCTCGAGGATCTGCTACTCGAGGCTGCACTCGAGCTGCCCGTCCTGCAGCTGGCGGCGGGGAGGCTGACCGCCGACTCTACAAAACTCACGCTCGCAGTCCTCCATCCGCGTGCGCTATCAGTGTATCGCCTCGTCGGCAGCGGCGGAGGCAGCGACGACGGCCCATCGTACCACGCGCTCGAGTGCATCTTCTCGCACGCTCTGGAACGACCGTCGTACAACTTGCTGGTTGGAACAGCCAGCGGCAGCGGCGACTTTGCATGCGTCCAGTCGATGGACGGTCTATTGACCCTCTTGGAGAAGGAGCGCGCGCAGCCACCCTGCCAGCTTAGCAAGTTCCTTCTGCCGGGGCCGCTCACCTACTGCGCCAACACGGACGCGCTCCTCACTTTCAACTCCCAGCTGGAGGTAGACTGCTACCGCCGCGCGCACTTTGCGCCTAGCCCGGCCAGCACGCACCCACGGTTGCAGGTCGACTGGTCGGTCCCAGTCGGCGAGCACGTAACCGCGCTGCTCGTGGCGCGCCTCTCTCGGGGCATGGCAGCCTCGCAAGTCGACATTGTCGTCGTTGCTGAGCGGCTACTGCTCTACATCAAGGAGAATGGCTCGATCCGCAATCAGAAGCGGCTCGACTACTCCGCCTGTTGCGCGGCGGCGCACAGCGTCGACGGCTCGAGCCAACAGCGGCTGGTGGTGGGCGGTCGCACGGGGGCGGTGATGGTTTACAGTGACATGGAGCTCCTCTGGGCAGCGCGGCTGCCCGGTCCACCCGCCACACTGGGCGTCCATCGCTTTGGGCAGCAGCCCGGGCTGCTCCTCTCCCTCTTGTACGACGGCACAACCACCCTTTCCTACCTCGGCACGACACCCCCGCCGCCCGGGGCGGTCGGCGCAGCGGAGTCGAAGCAGCTCAACTACGAGGCGATGGACGCAGAGCACCGCCGCCTCCTGGGCGTCATTCGCGAGGCCTCCACCACTCGCCCCGAGCCGGCCGGCGGCATCAGCCTGCGAGCGGAGGTGCCTCTGCGGTGCGACGAGCGCGGCTCTGGTGAGGGCGCGGAGGAGCTGCCGGCGCTCACGGTGCGGCTGATGGCGGCACACAGCGGCGTGGCGCCAGCGGACGACGTCTCGATGGTGGCGAGCTGTGCGCCGCCCCTATTCCTCGCGGCGGACCATATCGTTCTTCCGCCGCTCATCGCTGGCGACCCGCCAGCGGCTGTGCCACTGGTCTTTCGCGCGCGCCCCGACGAGCTGCCCGTTGACCTCTCCGCCACCGTCGTGGTGAACTACTCCGCGGGCGGTGAGTTGCGATGCGCGAGTTGCGAGCTACGGCTACCCCTGCGCCTCGTTGCCGATCCGGTGAAGTCTTGGAAGACTTGCGCTCTGGCTGTGAAGAGCATCCCTTCACGCTGCACGCTGTGGGACAGGTGGAGCCGCTGAAGACCTCGGGTTTCAGGCTGACTATTGAGACGAACCGGCCGCCGTTGCCGCTCGGGGGACTCTTCGAGGACATGGTGGTCGACGCCGCGTCAGCTGCGGCGGAGGGCGCTGCGCTGTCCATCGTGTACGGGTGCGGGCTCGACGCAACCGTGCTCGCCTCCAAGAAGGAGCGCGGCCGGTATCGTGTCTGCTCGTCGCGTTTTGAGGGGCTCTGGCTGCTGACGGACGAGCTGGTCCGCCGGCTCCGCGCGCACGGCGAGGGCGAGGCGGGCGCTTCGGACGGCGGCTTCGCAGTGTGGTATGAGGACTCGCTGCCCCTACGGGAGTACTTTGAGGCCATCGACGACCACCTCGCCAGCCGGCGAGCGCTCGTTGACGCGAAGGCGGAGCTGGAGCAGCGGGCGCGCCAGCTGCGCGCTGTGGAGAAGCGACTGCTGGTGCAGCTCAAGCGCCTCCCTATACCCCCTTTACACCTAGGTTCTGAAGAGGCGCTCTTCACACACCCTAGGTGCGGCTCAAGGACCGGGTGCCTGCACCGATCGCAAGCCTCGAGGCGCTGCTCGAGGGCAGTCACCACCAGCTCCTCGAGCTAGCCCACCGCGCGGAGGAGCACCAGGCGCAGCTGCGCTTCCACGCCGCGCGCGTCTCGGCGGGAACGCGATTGCTGCTGCTGCTGCTGCGTCTCAAGTTTCGGCTTGGGGACGAGGAGGCGCGGCTCCTCGAGGCGCATCTGTCGCCGCTGACGTCCTTCAGCGAGGAGGCGAGCGACGGCTGGGAGGAGCGTACCGCGGCGGCCCTCACTCACCTCTTGCACCACGGCCTCAAGAAGAGGGGGACGGGGGCTGAGCCGTCGGCTAGCCCCTCGCAAGGGGCGCAGGCGCCGTTGGCGATGCCAGCCGATGCGGCCAAAGTGAAGAAGAGCATCACGCTCGTGTGCGACCGCCTCAACAAGGGGAGCAGGCCGGGGAAGGGAGGGGCGCAGGCCGCGGCGCCCGGGTCTTGGGAGCCGCCCGGAAAGGAGGCCGGCTGAACAAAGAGCCCCCTCCTCGTGTACGTGTATAAATAATAGTACATGATATCTGCCCATTCTGCTCGTTCTGCCCCGCCCTTCTGCTTTCTGCTGCTACGGCTTTACAGTACAGACTACAGTCCTGTCTACCGGTCATGGGGTCTTCCGAGACTGTGACGCGTGGGCCGTGGGGGTTGGAGGGCTCAGAGCCCTCAGCGTTTCACTTTCGTTCACCGAGCGGGGGCTCAGCGCGTATTTTATTATTTATAAAGCTGTGTTTGCCGTCTGACCGGCTCCCTGTCGTGGCTCGTGGTCGTGCTCGCGAAAATGCGCGACGGTCGATCTAACCGACTCTCGCGCGTGACGCCCCTCTCATCCTCAAATCTCTCCCCCCGTCCCCACCCCCTCCGACCCCGCCTCCACAGCCACACCCGCGGCTCGGTTCCGAGACATATCGTCAGAGCCCCTCCCTGCCCTCGTACTCTCGCGCAGCCCCTCGGCCGCTCTGCTCAAGGGCCCAGGCTCCCTCCTTCGGACGCCCCCCCTTCCCCTCCCCTCCTGTGCATCGAGAGGGGCTCTCTCCCGCCCCTCGTACAGCCCTCGTACAGCAGCTCTCTCCTTCGCCGCATCGCGTTCGGCGCGAGCATACCGTCGGCTCGCCTCTCTCACCGGCGGCGCTGCTCGCCGTCTCGCCGCCTCCGCCTCGGCCCGACTCACTTAAGAGCCTGCCGGATGGCGGTCGCGAGCGGCACGGCGAGGCGCAGCTCGGCCGCGAACGCGTCGAAGTCGGCGAGCGGCTGGTACATCGCCTCCTGCGTGCAGCGCGCGCTGCGTGCGCGCGCGAGCAGGTGCTGCAGCGGCGCCCACTCCACGGCCGTCAGCTCGAGGGTAGCGGCGTGCGAGGCGATGTGGAGAAGCGCGGCGTGCGCCTGTGGTCGGCGGGTTGGAGAGGGTGCGGTGTGAGGAGACGCCGCTCATGGCGCGAGGCGGTGTGAGACGAGGTCGGCGGGCGGGCCGAGGGCGCGGAACGTGCTCCCGCGCGCCTCCGCGAACGAGAGTAGCGCCTCCTTCTCCTCGCGCGGGAAGAGCAACTTCTCCGACGACTTGCGGCGGTGCTTTGGCACAAGCAGGTGGGCGCGCAGCCGCGACTCGGCCGCCGTGGCAATTCGTGCCTGCGGGTGAGCGGGTGAGGGCGTGGGGCGGTGGGGCTCCTAGAGCTCTGATACCGAAAAGCCGCGGCGGGGGGCGAAACGGGCGGAGGGGAGGCGAAGCGGTTGGCGGGGCGAGGCGCACGTGTGCGTCGTAGTCGTACAGAGCGAGCGCGAGCACCTTCGCGGCCGAGTTTGCCTCCTCGCACAAGTAGCCGTGCCCGCGCCCGCGCGGCAACGCCTCGAGCAGCGCCTAAGGCGGGCTCCGAGAGGGTTGCGACGTGGGCTGTGGCAAGGGTTAGCGCGCGGGGGCGGCTCGAGGCGCGCCTCGTTGCGGTCGTCCGTCTCGAAGAGCAGCCGCAGCTGCTGCCGCAGCAGCGAGCGGAGGAGCTCGGAGAGGCGGCTGCTCAAGACGGGCACGCCGTCCGCGAGGCCCTCGAGCTGCGAGCACATGAAGCTACCCGCCGCGCGGCAGCGCGACGCCTCGTCGGAGAGGTGCGCCGCGCACAGCGCCTCGTCCGCCGCAGCCGCCACCTCGAGGCGCAGCGCGCGCACCGCCCTCTGCTCGCCGGCCGCTTCGCCGGCCGCCGCCACGCGGTCGTGCCACTGCTGCTGCGCCGTGACGACGCGGTGCATCCTCTCGGCCGCCTCGGCCAAGTCGGCTATCTCGGACGGGTCGGCGTCGCCCCAACGGGACGGGGCGAGGTGGGAGCCGTCGTGCGGTGCAAAGCAGACGCGCCGCCGCTTGGCGGGGCGGGGCGGCTCTGCCGGCGGGCCGGCGGCGCGCGGCAGCGACGCCATCTTGGCGGCCGCCTGCGCGAACATCCAGCTCTCCACGTGCGAGAGCGCGAGGGCGACGGGACGGAGCGAGGCCCACGAGCCGTCCGCGTCCTCGTCGGCAGGCGCGCCGCCCGCGCCTGCGTCGCAGCGCTCGATGGCGCGACGCAACAGAGCGCCGGCGTCGCACCCCTCGGCGAGGCTCAGCGGCGGAACCGGCGGAGGGGTGCCGGGGCGCTCCGCCTCGAGAGCCGCGGCCGTGCAGCTCTCTTGCAGCCCCTGCGCCGACAGCGCCCCTCCCGCCTCCCGCAACCAAAATGCAGTAGACGCAGCGCCGGCCGGCAGCCCGAAGCCGGCTGGCGGAGGCGGTCCAAGCGGCCTCGCCGCGCGGCTCGGAGCGGCGGCAAACGTCGGAACCGGCGGCGGCGGCGGCGGCGGCGGCGGCGGCGGCGGCGGTGGCGGCGGCGGAGGCGGCGGTGGCGGCGGCATCGGTTGGTGGTCTGCCTCGGGTGGCGCGGCGGCGGCGAGAGGCTGTTCGCCGAGCGCGTCGAGATAAGCGCCTGGGCGCGGGGGGGGGGGGGGGGGGGGGGGGTTAACCCCCCTCCCCCCAAAAAGGCGCAAACCCCGGGGGAAAGGGCCCCCCCAACCCGCGAGGGGCCCCAGGGGGGCAAAAGGAACCCCCGGGGCCCCCCCAAAAGGCTCCCAAAACAAAAGGTCCTCAAAGGGGGGGGGCCTTTTGGGGGGGGGGGGGATGTTCGGGAAAACGGGGGCCTCCGGGCCCCCCTTTTGGGGCTTCCTCCCCCAAGGGGAGGGGCCCGGAAAAGCTTCCAAAAAAGCTGCCCCCCCCCGGGCCCCCCCCCCCCCCAAGGGCCCTCCCCCCCCCAAGGGTTCCCCCGGGTGGGTGAAAGGGGGGGCCCCCCCCCCCCCCCCCCG